TGTTTTTGCTGTTGTTGTTGTTGTTAACTTGGATTTTTAGGAATGATAGATGAACGAAAGCGAGGTGACGAAAGAAATTCATGTATGTCAGTACACTGATAACAGTGTGATGTTACTGTGAATCCCGACAGGTTCTGATCGCTTTCACTCACACATTTGTCGGAATTGGGTCAAATTTATTTTGTTGGATGATTGGAGTGCTTCTTTTGTTGTTTGGGCAGCTGATGATTCTTATTGATATTAATGGGTAATTTGCGTCTGAAATATTCATTGATGTTTTATCTATCACCTTGGAGAACTGATGCCCTTGGTCTTTTCCATTTTCTCCTTAGCATATGTTTGTGGGTTTGTAGAATGCTGCTTTCCATTTGAATTACTTTTTTGCTGCCACTGTCAGTACTAAAACCATTTTTCATTGTTTAATTTGCTCTTAAATGGTTACTTTTTTGTTTGAGATCATGGTGTGCTTAGCCTTGATCCTACCAACCCCTTTGGTTGCTTTCATACCGAGCATATGATGAATCTTTTTATTGTTGTAGTGTGGTTAAAGATATCTGTGGAGATAATGCCTAATGGGTTTGATGTATAGCTCTTTGGCCGGTAGGGATTGCAAAACTATGTACCTGTACTCTTAACATCAGAAGGAGGGATTGAATGAGGTTAGGGTTGAAGAGAAAATAAAAATGTTTCTTTTCTTTTGTATTGTGATCTTCATTAAAGAATATCTTAGAGTGGGATAAAATTCTTTGGAAGATGAGAAATGGGTCATCTTCAAATTTGTACTCCATTGGGGATGCTCTTAGAACATCTCTAAGAGCATCTTCAATGGTAGTCCAAATTTCGAGAGGGTCTATTTTTACACTCCAAATGCTCTTCAAATTGTGTATTGCAAGGAGAAGAATTCATGTATGTCAGTACCCTGATAACAGTGTGATGTTACTGTGAATCCTGACAGGTTTTGATTGCTTTCTAGCTAATTTCCTTCTTTTTCCCCACATGTATGTCAGTTCAGTACCCTGATAACAGTGTGATCTCGCTTATTTACTCACACACATTTGTCTGAATTGGATTTAGTGCTAAATTCTTGTTGTCATTGGATGGTTGGAATGCTTCTTTGCTTTGGGCAGCTGATGATTCTCATTGATATAATGGGTAATTTGCATCTGAAATATTCATTGATGTTTTATCATCTTGGAGAACTGATGCCCTTGTTCTTTTCCATTTTCACCTTGGCATATCTGTGTGTTTCTAGATTGTTTCTGTCCATTTAAATTACATTTTTTCTGCCACTCTCATTACCAAAATTACTTTTCATTATTTATTGTGGTCTGAAATGGTGGCTATTTTGTTTGAGACAATGGTGTGCTTAACCTTGATCCTACCAACCCCTTTGGGTGCTTTAATAGCGAGCATACACTGAATTTTCATTTTTTTTAGTGTGGTTCAATATGTCTGTGGAGATGTTGTGGAATGGGGTTTATGTATAACTCTGTGGCTAGTAGGGACTGTAAATCTACTTACCTGTATTATTGACATCAGAAGTAAGGATTGAGTGAGGTTAGAGATCATTATTTTGGCGAGAAGTTGCTGGTATTGTGGTATTGTTCATTTAATTGTTGCCAAATTTTAGCTAAAACAGTTGGTTATTAGGGCATTCCAACAAAGCCATTTGTGCATTCAAATGCATTATTTTCACTTTTTCGTAGCAAATGGCAATGCTATTATTTGAAATAGTGAATGGCATATTGGGGGAGGTCATTCAATGTGAAAATTTGGCATTGTTGTCCATCCTAAATTGTGGCAAGAGGATTGCTAGGTACCTTCTCTTGCTATCTTATTCTTCTTACCTTTCTCATTCTCCTGCAGTCTTGTGTGTCATGCAAATACTTAAACTAAACCTTTAATTTTTTCAAAACATATTATTTCTGACATGCTTACCCTTAATGAATGCTTTAGCTAACTCTCATATAAGGGTAAGTAAGGGTGAGTGAAATTTATGTTTTGAAAGAGTTGGAGACTTTAGTGTCAAGTGCTTAAGTAATACACAACATGAGAATGGGAAAGCTAGATTGAGTAAGATAAGAGGGGAAGGTAGCTAGCATTCCTCTAATTTTATATGAAAGGTGTACAAAATCCAATTTGGTATCATCACCTTCTTCCAAATTATTAGTTCTTGTCTTTGTTTAAATTTTGAGCTCAATAGTCATGAAAGTCGATGTTTCGGACAAACAAATAAGCAGATGAATGTTTTTGTAAATGTTGTTGCCTTGAGTTTGTCACTGCTTCAATTTCATACGGTCGAGTAGGCTTTTACTGTCAAGTTTGCTGGTTACAACAAGTCTAATGTACTCCTCATTGCTTATAGCCTTGTAGTTTGCTGCCTTCTCCTTGACAAGATCGGGTAGAGGACCAATCATGGTCATCATATTTGGGCTGTGAAATCCTGCAATTGAAAGCCGTTCCCTATCTGTGTTCACCACCGCCCTGTGCTCAATGCTCTTATATTCTCCATTACTCAATATCTGCAACAACATGGTGATTAGATGGAAAGCGTCAAGTACTGTTGAAGAGACTACATTTGTTTGACCGTATTATGTTCCAAACGAGGAGTATACATTATCACATTGATTGTTCATAGGCACATTACTTCTATACAATGTGGTCAAAAAATGTGGTTTATCAATCTTATATACCATTGAGTATTCATTGTGGTACCTCAATGATGTCGCCGATGTTGACGATTAATGCACCGGGTACTGGTGTTATCGGTACCCATTTGCCATTGTTCTTGATTTGTAACCCTTGAACATCATTAACTTGAATTAGTAGAGTCAAACCCACAGCATCGGAGTGTGGAGTGAGACCCATAACCCTGCTAGCCTGTGGACAAGGTGGATAATAATTCATTCTTAGACCTTGAGTTCCATCCTCAAACATGCTTGCTAGCTTCTCTGAATTGAGCCCCAGGTTCTCGCATATTAACTTCCATAGGTACTTTGTTACTTCTTGTAGTTCCACTGAGTACTTATCTAGGGTCTCCCTGGTAGCAACGTGACCAATAATTAGTACATCAATATAGCAAATGCTAATGGCTCGTGTTCAATGCCGAGTCATTTTTTATTCGTGTCAGAATACGAGTTAAACGAGTTTGCTGTGTAAAAATCGAGTTACTTGTGTTTGACACTAATCCGACTCTTGTTAATTATTTAAGTTAGCATGTCGTTCTATTTTCATGTAGGTTCGAGTTGGGTTGTCATGTCAAAAATTGCCATACCTAAATTGAATGACAAAAATAAAGCAATGAAAGAAAAACCCAAGGCCCAGAACTTGATGGGATCTTAAAGAATTATAGGGGTGGTTAGTGCTAATCGCATGTTTGATTTGATTTAGAATATCATAGACTGCATAAGTACCTGAAAGAAGTGGGAAGGGTAGGCCAGAATGTAAGATTTCTTAGGGAGACTGGTTGAGAGAAAAGGAAGAGCATGTCCCCCCAGTCAAGTTTTTGCTCTTCAGAAACAACGAAGGCTTGGCCATAGCCTTCAATATGATTCGGCAGCTGAGCATAAGCCTTCTTTTCTTCTAATGGCAGCTGGAAGAACTCCTTTGTGTCACTCCTGATTTTCTCAATCACTTCTTCTGATACCCCATGATTGATCAACTGCACCAACACCACAATTCATATCAAGACATCCAAGTATTAATGTAAATCTTATAGCGGATAATATCCGGCACAGGACCTCGGATGGAGGAGTGAATGCTTTTAAACTTTCAACTATACGTTTATATTTAAAAGACAGCAACTTATACCTGAAAGAAACCCCAGTCCTTACAAGCCAAGTGAAGCTTTGCCAATTCATCACCATGGCCTAATGGATCCCCCATTAGCTTGCTCATATCAACTACCGGAATTTGAAGCGAGTCCTCCATGGAAACTTCCTCATGTTCAATTTCAGGCCGGATGTATCGGGGCGGGATTTCCTTCAAGTTGTTGGAAGCAAGAGCTTGAACATTCTCAACTGGGAGAGAACCACCCAGGTCCCTTCTGCTGAGTACCTCAGTCTCCATTCTCACACTGAGGATTGAAATTCTTTCTGCCATATATTATAGACATTCCGCTATATGGATATGTACTTTGGTGAACACAACTCTAATCAATGCCACGTGGAGTGCTAAGCATCTGTTTGCATCTTCCCTTTTTGGACGGCATTGGATCTTAATTATTTGTTTAGGGAAAGCTTGTCTGCATATGGCCTGCAAATGCATTGCCTAGCATGTTTCGGAGAAACAAAGATGCTTAGCTTCATGTCTATGTTCCCAAACAAAAACAAGAGTAAATTCTTAACCGGCATTTTTGTTGTTATTGAAAGTGCATTTGTTCTTTATTAAAGGGTCAAATTACATTTTTGGACATACAAGTCTAACATTGTTAAGAAATCAAGTCCTACAAGTCTAACATTATTAAAAAATAAAGTCCCTATAAGTAACATTGTTTTGGGTGGTTGTAAATATTCCAGAGAGACAAAAGTGTCGTCACATGTGGCGGTTTCATATTGCCATGTCGTATTTCATCTATTACTTTGATGATATTTATAATTTGAATATTGTCATGTCGTATTTCATCTACTATTTTGACAAAACTAAATTACATGATTAAAATTGTCAAAATGACATGATAGGAAGAATAAAATGGTCATTGTTTAACATAGGATGCAGAGTAAAAAAATGAAATTGAAGAATAAATTAGATTCACAATTGATCTTTTAAATCTTTTACGTTTTTATTTTTCATTAATGAGAAAGGCGCTTCGAACTCATAACATCTTTCAACTCTAAAAAAGAGAAGTACCAACTAACCATTAGAAGATATTAGAAGATCGGGTGAAGTCTATTTCAAGTGCTATCAGTAATTTCTAAATCATGTCTTGCAGATAATAAGAAACCCATAAAATGAACTTCGAGTTCAATATCCATACATACATCATACATGCACTACCTAGCCTAGGCATTGACAAACCTACAATGCTTCCTGATCTCTCCTTGGTTTCCGGTCAATGTATTGATATTTCCCATCTTGATCATTGATTTTACAAATGAAGCAAAGAAAAGCTTTTGATCAGAGGCATAAGCCCACACCTGCTTTAGTATCTCCCCATCATGATCTTGTGTGACCAACACATTATCAGACCCAAATAAACCTTTCCCTTGGAGTATGTTAAGGTAGTAATGGTTGTCAAATCTGGCTGGTGTCTGAAAATCAAGCGGTGCTAATTCATTGTCCCTCCCTGATTTCGGGCATATGGACCGTAGCATTCTTCGAAAGGTCGTATATCTCTTGTATTTATCGTATAATTCGTATTTTCCTCTGAAGTTTACATCATACACCCTCTGTCTGAAACTTAAACATCTTGCCCTTCCCATTGTGTGGCTACCTGCAGATCTACCCTTTGTAAGTCCTATCATTTAATAGTAATTTCATTGAAGAAAGAAAGAAAGAAAAAAGGCATATTTTTCACATGATATTGATTCTTGAATAACTTACCTGACAAGGTAACCAAGTCTCCTACATCAAGGCCCTGTTGTTTGAAATTGGCAATGAGAGTTTCTAGAGAGGAATTCGGAGCGGGGATGAACTGGTTGGCACCACTGAAGCTTGCTTCCAGTGAGTCTCTCCTGCCTAGCCACACATTCCAGCTTGGTCCACCTCTCTTTTCACCAACAGAAGAAAAACGATAAATGTTACAAAATACTTACAATTTTTGAGAGAGTGATGCTACATGTATCAAATTTACTGAGGACATTATTTCTGATCACATCTCTTATGGGCAACATCGAGAGAGAGATGTACCAATGCAACAGCATCGCGAGCAGCCAAGGCTAGAATATCAGCACATGAAACTGTTGTTGGACAAGCCTCTTCCAGGTGATACTTTATCTCATCGACAACCTCAAATCCTCGTAAAGAATCTAGGTTTGGGCCGGCTTGCTTTTCACTGACTATGCCTCCGTAGCTGTCCAAAAGAACAGATGCATCGCACCCCTAACTCCAAAGAAACAAAAATTGTTAACAACAAAACAAGAAGATCGAAGTAAAGTATTGATTCTTGTTCTTTCATATTTATGATATTGCTCTGTCTCTCCCCTGCAGTATGCATGCACTGACTGGTACAGGGGAAGACAAACTTGCAAAACCAAAGTCAGCAAATTTGGCTCCATGTGTGTTTGTGTGTGTGCGTGTGTGCGGAAGGGGGAGAGGGTGAGAGAGACAGAGAGAGAGAGAGAGGCTCAACCAAAACAAAACAATCATGAAAATGCAAGCGAAGGAGTGAAGCCGCCATTCGAGGATCTTTAGCCACCGCAATTGCAACACTACGCCTCACAATCTCTTCTGCCAAAGGGCACCTTTCTTTGTAATAGTCAAGAAATAGAGGTCCATCATCCTCAACAGAAGTTCCAGTGCCATGAAAAACCATTGTTAGTAGTACTATAAAGAACATCCTCCTCCTTATGTTCTCCATTGTAGAAAATGAAATAGTGGATTTATAGTGGTGATTATATTAATTTCTGAGACAGGAATGTTGAAGTAACATCTCCATCTATACTAGTTTGATCTGTATAGGCATTACTGTGACGTTTTTACTGCACTTTGCTTCAAAATGTTGCCTTCCATGTTTTCAAACCAACTTAGCATAACCACATTCCTTTTTGATATTTTGTTGAAAGTTGATGCAACTACTCCTACCTAATTGTCTTCTCATTATCTCAAAAGCTAACTGCTTAGTTTCAAGGGCATGGGGACTATTTCATGGGTCCACAAATGAAGGTTAAGCCCGTTATTAGCAAATTGTACAGGTTGAAAACCAGAAAGTAGCCATTTTATGCCGGATTTTGAATATGCTCGATTCTCTTGGGGCTTATATTAGCTCTGGTGGTAGAGAGTATCACTTCTACACCTCCGGAAAAAGTTCGAATCCCCTCTCTATTTAAACAAAAATACTTCCAACCCCCCTAATTCTGTCACTTAGCAAGATAGTGTATAGTGCATTTGTAGACTGCATTATTTGGTACAGTGTTTGGGTATTTTGTATTTGTTACATTGACTTTGGAAAATCCATTTCGTTTTCTTGGTTTTTTTGGTTGTTCTCCAAGTCAAAAAACCATTTACTTTTTTTACAAAATTAGTGAAACACCCAATCCTAGCCATGAAATTATAAATATACCCAACACTATTTAAAACATAGAAACACACCCAAAATAAACCCAAAAATCAACAATTGTATATTTTTTGGGTGTGTTTATAAATGTGTTTTGAGTGTGTTTAATAAATGGGTTTTGGGTGAGTTTATAAAGTGTTTTTCATATGGGGTTTTTTTATAATTTCAGCCCCTATTTTGGGTGTATTAGTGAAACTCCCTTTTTTTTTCTAGTTCTTTTTTACTTACTTCATCCGTACAAAGCCAAGATCCAAAGTCTGAAACATAATGCAACTTTCATGTTCTATTCAATTGTCAGATGATTCCTATCCTGTCCCACAGACACAACCCAGAAGTTCTAACTACAGAAGAGAGAGAAGAAAAAGATAATACAGAGACAAAGAAACCAATATACAAACGAAAATCTCAACTGTTTAAGATCTGTTAAAGAAAGATGTTTTTTCCCCTTTGATGTATACTATTAATACCTTGACTTGTATAATATATATAAACTTGTTATCCTAGCTACTGTTTTGCATACTGGTATGTCAGTTATGGTGTTTGAGAGCACCATCTTGAATCCCATCTGTCAAAAACGATACCAGCGTTCAATGCTTGTCAGCATGGCCTGCAATTTCCTGTGTAAAAGATAATCAGTCCATGTTAGTATAGGTACGCAAAAACATCATTGTGTTGTTCAAGAGCAAAAGAAGCAATAGGCGAATTACCACATAGAAGCAGCAAGTATAAACAGGAAGGCCACATACACAGAATTATTAATACAACTTCATATCAAATTCTTCCCAGGAACCTACTGTAAAGAAGTACTTGGAACACAGCATGAATTTTTATATATTTATTTTTGGTTCATAACATGTCACACTCTTGAACAATTTCATGGTTGTTTAATGATGCAGTCAGGTAGAGTGACAGTATTAAAGGTAACACAAGCAAAGACTCACTTAACAGCATCTCCAAAACCACTGAATTAAAAGTTAGATTTGTACCACGCAGCTGGGAGCTTCTTTAGAGGTTTACACAACAAAAGATTTCAGGTATTGCCTTGGTGTTGAATAAAAGGATAGCTATGTTGCTGATGCTATTTAGAGAAATAATAACTCTAAATTGTAGTGGGCTGATATTGACAGAGTTCCAATACTCTTCAGAAGGAAAAAAAAATCTCATGATTGTTACCTGATCTCTTCTAATTAATAGTCTAAATCCTCATCTTCGTCCAGGAAGATCTCAGGATGAACGGCTACACTAGTGCAATTGAGCGCTCGTTGCAGCTTCCAATGATCTAGGACTTCAACTTCAACCATGAAGACTGAACTAACTGGTCGATGATCTGAAAGCTTTATTTCTGCCCGCTCGTAAGAAAGTTGTCTGATGCCTTTTCCTAGCCATAGTATACGATCACACCTGTTACAGGAATACCAAGTACATAAAGAGGACATACTCATCAATTGACTGAATCATGGTAATAACTTCACCACTATATTGACTGGAAAAAGTACAAATAGTCGTGAAGCTGAAGGTTATTCTATGGTGTGGTCTCTCTTATAGAACTCCCCCCTACCCAACAAAACGAAAAACAATCGTGAGTGAAGGCGCAGTTTCTAAAGTTAAATACACTGTCAATTCAACATTATCAAGTTACCTTGACTCAAATTGACTAGTTTTGATGTTCTACAACAAATAAGAAAGTTAACTAATACTGTCCAAGTTCTTGACAATTGTCTAGTTGCACTGAAATACAAATTGGAAACATAGTCCACAGAAGCTTGAGCAACCATATTTAGTACAGTTTCTAAGCATCGATGAAATATTCAATCAGAATTTTAAAAAAAATGTAAAAATATCGTAAAAATATCAATATGACATTGAGTGCTCATGAGTTTTCTGTTTCCTTTTCTTCTAAGCAACTAAAAGGGCAATGAACTATTCTATGCTTGGTGAAAAAAGTGATGTTGTAACAATTACAATCATGCTGGTCCCACAAAAGTTGTACTTACCATGCTGGTGATCTCTTCTTCTCTCCTTCTTTTGGGTTCTCTCCAAAATATCTGTCAGAGTTTATCTCATACTTATAGGTAGGTGGAAAGTTTATCACTCCCTCTTTCCATCCTTCAAATACATGCCCGCTGCGGAGTTCTTTGTTTAGCTGCACATGGAGTGATTGCATTAAACGGCAGTTCAGTTTACAAAATATTTATGCTGTTTCCTGAACTGATTCATGATTGAAGATTGTAGAAAAAAAAAAAAAAAAAAAAAAAAAAAAAAAAAAAAAAATGAATGAATGTTTATACTTAGTAGTGTCTTCAGCAACCCTAAGAATTAAAATCAAATTCGATGATCTCACCTGATCATTGCTGACAAGTTCATCCCACTGTTTGAGAGCAATGAGCTTCCTTACATCTGCGTCTTCCATATTGAGACGATAGTTTAAATCCCCAAACCAGAAAATCTGGCTGTTCATAGAAGCACCCCAATCACATCAAATGACAGTTCACATTGGTATATTATAGATATGAAAAAGAAGAGAGAGGTTCAACCATAAAATGACAAATTGGGCAGTTGGTTTCTTATTTTAATTGTCTACAGATAAACATAATTTATTTTTCTCTCTGTCCTCCACAATATTAAGTCATAACAAAAATAGACGATGGCAAAAATAAAAATAAAAATAGATGGCTTATAGTCTTATGAAGCAGCCAACATAAACACATATAATTAAAAAGAATGTCAACTGTATGCTTACTCATGAGAGGGAATTGTCAGCGGTTGATCTGTATCAAAGACAGACGAGAAACAGGTACGTCGTATAATTTCATACACATCTGAGTTCCGCCTTTGATCAGCCCCCTCCTTCTGACCAGAGGACAGATGAGAACAAACAAAGCACATTCGCGATTGGAAAAGGGACATACTAACGGAAACTGATCCCTGCTTGAGCAACCATGAATTACGAAGATGGTCAATAGCATTAAGGCAAGAACATTCAACAATTGATCAGCACATTATAACATGTTGTCTCCTCTACAATTAATGCAATCTCCAGCCTGCAGTTGATCACATTTTAATGCATCAGTATGTTGAGGGACACTGTTTTTATTTCATTTGAAAATCAAAACAAGTGAACTCATAGAACATGGCTCACTATCGTCGTGAAATAAACACAGCACCCTACATTAGCTTGATGCAATACAATGTAACCTACTCCAGATTGTAGATTGTGATAGCGAAAAAAAAACCCCCCTTTCAATTCCAAATTCATATTATCTTAACTTTCTTAAGGTTGGGGAACACCAACATCTTTTCCACATAAGATGATGCACTTCAAGCATGAAAAAAAAGAAGCAGGAAGTACCTTGTTTCCCATGAAGCCCATTAGACCAACCCCAACTGGAGATACTTTCAGATTGTTAATGTGTCTCCTCAACTTCTTACGCACCCAGACGGATATATATATCCCTACCATTTGCTTGCTGACAATTCGGACATATGTAGAAGGTAACTTTGCTCCATCCTCGATAACTTCATTTTTCAGTTGTTCATTTGGTAATTCATCAAAGATATCATCTTCCTCTTCCAAAAAACTGTCAGACACATTAGAGAGGTTGTCAAAAACTTGAGGCATCTCTTGCTGCTCCACAGAGATTGATCTCCGCAGGTTCCCAGAGCTATGGTGTGATCTTTTCAATCCACCATCTTTTTGTGAAATTTGAGGACTGAATATTAAAGGATTATCCGACGTATTAAAGCTCATTCTCGCAGAACTGCTCAGCACCCGCCGCAATTTGGAACTGGTGAAGACAACTTGAGGGGTTGCATCTAGTGAAAGTTCAGGCCAATCTAGCCTACTATCGCAATCGATGCCATAAATTCTCCTCCATTGCAAATTTCTCCCAATGCTGAGTACTTTATTCAATTGACCATGTTCCAAGTCACAACCATTAGTAGCTCCAACATATTCCTTGCCCAGAAAACCTAACGGATGAGCATTAGTTTCTGCAAGTACATCAGCAACAGAAGAAGTCCTTTGCACTGGTGAAGGTGGAGCACTGTAGCATATGTGTTTGCTTTCGGGTTCCAAGGATTTGTTCAGAGTTTTTCGAATGATTGCCTCCCATTTTGGTATTGATTTGTTATCCTCTGCTCCCAGTACATTCCCAGCATTCAAAGGGACAACCTCTTGAAAACTGAACGATAATTAGTACCAATAATGAAAATGAAATGGAAACTAGATAAGATGTTGATAAAATACTTCTGGGTGAGCGCCTGCCACCAGAATATACCAGGCTAACCAGTTATCAAATGCAGTTTTTGAGGCAGGGGTGAAGGGAGGAAAGATCCCTTATGCAACAAACCGTTGGAAGTGTGTGCCTAGGTGGATTATGTCAAGGGAGAAAAAATGATATAGGACCAACAACTGGAGGAGTAACTTACCCAAGAATGTAAACATCTGCTGGTTCTTCGGTACAAAGCCAATCGTCAATATCAAGATCTTCATACGGAAGTCTTCCACCAACATTCCAACTGCCTACTGTCACCCTACATACAACCATGTGCCCAAGGTACATTCGAGTAAGAACCATACTGGTACTACTTCTAGGCTAACATTGAAAGTGTACGAGAATAATAGCCGAACCTCACATCCTTTGTGTTTATGTACTGAGCACGTACAGTTTCTGATTTCCCTCTCCGGTGTTTTAACTTGTAGCCCTTAGATGGAAGATCTGAGGCAAATTAAAAAAACACATCATGTATATTAATAGAGAACATGGATATAAACACTTACGAGATATCTGATAATGATCAAACAGTTGTTAAAGTCTTCTTTAGATTTAATTATGAAGCAGAAACAGTTATATGATTAAGATGCCCAGAAATGGTTTCCTATTCAAGAAATTTCACCATTTGCCTTTCTCTCTCTCATATCAAAACTTGACATCAAAGCTAAAGTTCCAGAAATGATTTTAGTGATAAGAATTACAAGAATAAATAGGTAAGATGAGCTTAATTTGGAACAAGTAAATACTCATAATGGAATTTACTGATATGAGGTGTGAAAAAAAAATTGCCTGAAAGTTGACTTCGGAAATCGGAGTGGTTTTCTCTAAGGCCATGATCATCACGCATGTGCTTTCTTGCATCTTTGTGAGAGTAACCTGGAAGACAAAATTGCAGAAAACTTGATTAAGCGGAGGATACTCGAGAAACATAATGTTGAAGAGTACAAAGCTGAGACCATGAAACCATACCGTCATCTTCACTTTCCGTTTCAGTTTCAGTTTCAGTTTCAGTATCAACCTCATCTGCACTGAAATCATATTCCTTTGGCTTTATGTTTAGCCATTTCTTCATCATAAGGGAAGGCCAGAAAGCCTGTAATAAAATGCAACATGAGCTGATCAATAGCTGAAACCATGTGCTGAAAACCATGTGCTGAATCTTGAGATTCATAAAAGTGGTTGACAGAAAAAGCATACCTCAGAGGGCTTTCCTCTTCTGCTTTTCATACTGTTGAGCTCAGAAATTTACTAGTGAATACAGTGAGTACTTATATACTTAAGACTTTGAAGGCACAAGCTCTAAATATGAAAGCAGCTTAAAACAGATAGACTTTGAATCCTGGTGCCACCATTCTTGGAGACTAACATTTAAATAGAAGCTTTTCAAAGCAATACCAGAAAAGGTAGGCTATAAATAAGCTTCTTTGATGGCCAGCACCAGAAGTTTCATGCCAGGACAGAGAAGGTAAGTGAGGACACATTTAGCAGACATCCATAATCACAACTTGCAAAAGAAAAATACTCAATGGTCCTCCCACTCAAATCATAATTTTTCTGGTTCATAAAACAACAGCATAAATAGTATTGAAAAATCATAAATTCCCAAAAAGATTTCCACAAGAAAATTGATGTCACTTTCATGATAGCAGACTTGAACTCATTTGACCAACAGATATATCCACTGCAGCCCTTATTTTCAGGTAGTTAAATGCTAAGATAACCAAGGCAAACAGAACAGTAAAAGACAAACACCAATAAATCAATATCCATCCAGAAATATAAATAAATAAATAAAATTATTGATTAAATAACTCATTTTTACAAAAGCTACTGACAGAATACTTTATTACAATTCAATAAAACAAACTGCCTAAGGAAAACTCAATTCCACCAATAGGGTATCAAACATTTAAGCAAACAGGTGGCGCTCATCACACCTCAATGCCAAATTCCAGTGAGGGCAGTTATTGCCCACTCTAAATCTTTTCTCGAAATAGAAACCAACCAAGGTCAGGCCACGATGCCTCAACCAAAACAGATCATTGACTACGACTACACAACTGTAAAATAAATTAGGCCCAACCAACTTTGAAAATCAGTAGAGCAGAAGGGGAAATGTGGATATTTACAGTAATTCTTAATGGTTAGCACTTTAGATTATGTGAATCAAAGTCGAATAATTTTTGTCAGGGTGTGTGGTTTAGATTCACTTAAAATATAATTATTTTTAAAAAAAAGAGAAAATACGTTCAGTAAAATATATACAGCGTAGGACGGCCGACATCGGTTATTTATTTCTGCAACTTTTGTGCAAAAGCAACAAGAAAGAATGTATATAATATGATATGTAAAAACGACCTATTGATTCATATTTAAAGGGACCACAGTTCGATGGCCTCGACGCACTATATGTGAACGCCATGGACTCTTGAGCTTTCATTTCTACCCATTACCCATTTTTATTTTTATTTATTATTTTTATTATTTTTATTATTTTTATTATTTTTATTATTTTTATTATTTTAGGAAATTAAAAACACAATATGTTAAAAGAGAAAGAAAAATTGCAAATAACGCGTTGTGCACATTGAGGAGTATGATGATACAATACGCATTGAAAGTTTAGAAATAGACTTTAGCCGTCAACTAAGAAAAAGAACAAATTAGGAGAGATAGTGGAAGTTGGCATCAATGTCCTATGAAAATGGAAATGTGAACATGTGTTTGGGTGTACTTTATTATTATGGGAAGCATATGATACCAATGGCAGATTCAAAATTTGAAAGTTGGATTGATGAAACTTAAATATTATATTCGACGGTACAAGTTAATTTGAAAGTTTGTTTTATTTATTATTTATTATTTATTATTTTATTTTTATAATTAAGAAAATATAACATGGGTAATTATGTTCTATAAAAGTATGAACTATTATCTGATTTTGTTTTTAATTTTAATTTTTTTAATATGAAAAAAGTGAATTTACCATATTATCCTCATTTAATTAATAATTTCAATTCTTAATGCTTGAATTAACCAAGACTATTTTTTGGTATTTTAAATGTTTCACCATTCTCTACCTTTTGTTTTATATATAGAAGATATATAGATAATAATAAAAAATACACATAGAGGGGAATAAAAAAAAAAAGAGAATTATCACCAAAGATTCCTGTTTGATTAAGTAGTAAATTAATCAATAATTTACATATTATATTTCCCTTTGAGTTTTTTTTTCTCTTTAGTGTTTTGTGTTTTTGGTTTTCATTTGTTGTTATGTTTTTTTTTCCTTGTATTTGTTTGTTCTTTCAAAAAAATAATATAACCATCAAATCATTCGTATTGAAAAAATAAAATCTCAAGAAGAGAAAAAAAAATTCAATTAAAAATCGTAGTAATGCACAGAGAGTAACTATATAGAAGTGAAAACTAAAAGAAGACTATTGCATTTTGTCTTCATAAGCAATAGTATTTTGTTTTAGAGTTTTTATGTAAAAAAAATTTCTTCTTTGTACTAAGAATGAGAAAAAAGAGCATATGCTCAAAGGAAAAAAAAAAAACAACATAACACACACAATCAAAAAAAAAAAAAAAAAATACCTATGAGGGGTAAAAATGGCAACTAAAAGAGTGAACAGCTATATTATTTAATGAGGGTTGGCTTTTAAACTTTCCGAGCATTAAAAAAATGCAGAGTCTTCCTAAAGGACAAGAGGAGAAGCTGTGCTCTAGGACTTGAGTTGGCAGTGTATGAGTGCAGGCTATAAAATGTAGCTTTTTATTTATTTGGAAAAATTTGGGCTGGGCAGTAGCCCACCCTGCCCTCGGCATAGATCCGCTAGTAGCCCGCCCTTCTCTTTGCACCTTTAGGGTATAATTTTAATAAATATCCACTTATATTATAACACGTAGACGAGTTATACCATGCAATTATACTCCAGTTATATTACTAAACTTTTTTCAATTTGGCTGATTGGTTTTCTAATAAAATGAATAGTTCGGGTTATGATATCATATTGTGTACATAAATAAACACACATGAGTATATATTAAGAGAGCAATTCTCATTAGAATAGTCCAGATGATAATAGCATGGAGGAACAAGAAAATAAAAATTGGAGCAGTGCCCTGTGGATTGGTATACCATGTAGTCAGTTTTGCAAACACTAGTTGCAGTGCTTTGGATCCATATATTCCATGCCTCTCTTTTATAAACTCTAACCTTTTGCAGGCTACTTATCTTCCTTTTTGGTGGCACCCACATGGACAGGAGTAGAGGGCAGAAACAGAAGCATAGAGCAAGGGAAAATAATGAAGATGGAGATGGGCAGGAAACTGACATGGTAAAAGCAACAGTATCAATAAAGTTAAGATACTCAAACGACGTTGTATTGTATCGTATGGTATAGTAATAGTATCAGGCAACAACATTATCTAATCCACGTATCTCAGCAAGTAAGATTTCAGCCACAACTTTAACAATCATTGTTCATTAACTAAGTAAGAGGGTAGATTGAAAAGGAAAGGAAACAAATGGTCGTTCCTCCTCCATGATGGTTAGTAGAAAATGATAGTATGAAATTAGTTGACAACTTGGACTTTAAGTTTAAATTTAAATCTCTGCGATGATAAGACACACACTTTGTTCACATGATATAGACGTAACGTGTGCTGTCCAGAGTTTATCTTAAGGATCACGTTAGGGAGCTCACTAATATAATGAATCCTACCTTTATTAAATAAATAGTACACAAGTTAGTATCTAAAATTGGTCTCTCTAATAAAAAACACAAAGAAAAAGCTAATTGACACGCGCATGTATCAAGGAGCTAGCACCGACGAAGGAATGAGTAGTGGGAGTTTTTTTATTTTAAAAAAAACAACTTTATTTGATGAGATAACATAATGATATTTTAACACTCTTTTTCACCGCCACCGAGTCCGCCAACCGTCCTTAGAAAAGGAAGGGGAGATGGGATACTAGGTAGCATGTTCCAACTTCTAAAGTTCATGTTAAAATAAAGCAAACATACATAGCAATTATACGTGTTGAGATTGAGAACACCACATTCTTAGTTTAATGGTTGTTTCGAAGAAATCAAAGGTAGATACTAGGAAGCATTATTATACCAATTAGCTAGTGCTTAGGAATACCTTTCTTCAGTAGTTAAAGATGTTCCGAGTTCGAATTCTCACTTTTGATTTTTTTTAAATAAAAAATTAAATAATACTATCAGACAGATGTTCTGAGTAAAAGATATTCCGAGTTCAAATTCTCACTATTCTTATTATAGAGAGACGATGAAACTACTTGATGGTGAATTGAGATGGTACAAATAGCAACGTTAACTTCAATCATCCAATGTTGATGTTAAAATGGAAAATAATACAATGCCAATATATATATTTAATGGTTATCAAACCTAGTGTTTTAGGGTTTAAAGAAAAAATGAGAATTCGAACTTATAATATTTTTTTATCAATATTTTTTTAATCAAATTACTGAACAATTTCTACTTTAAGTAATTTTTTTGCATGAATGATCCTGGAAGAAGAACTTAAATTAAAAATGAACAGTCTAGTTTCTATCATCATCCATCACTGCAAAACAAAAAACAAAAAAGAAGAATGAAGAATTAATGTCTAATGGAGAGAGATGAAAGAGCTGTTGCTTTCATTCCCTCCCAATAACAAATGCTTCAACAAAGAATAGGATTTGGTCAAACTCTCTGCATCAATGGCAACTTGGCGCACCAGGCATGGAGACAGAGAGCAGTCGCTAGCCCTGCAGCTGTGCCTCACTTGGTGAACTGTAAGCCAGCCAGCCATTGAGAGAGTCAGCCTTGACTTTTTTGGCACACACATGACAAAAACATAGAGCACATGACGACACCAGTTGAATAATCATGGCGGTGCGCTCCTTCCTTCCTCCTACTTGTACGTATTGTTTTTGTTATCCTTCTCTGGTTCTAGACAAATTAAATGACTGGACAAAATTGGACATCTTTCTGTTTCGTGGTCCAAAGTGCATGCGTATGGCTTCTCTTTTAATATTTGTAACTTAAAGTTAGAATTGAATGGGAATTTTCCATTCCATTCCATCCATACACCACTAGTATTGTTTATGATTTCTTATTGGAAAACTATGTACTTTCTTCTCGGCTAACTTTATTAAATTAAAAGGAGATCTAGGGAGCATAACCCTGTACAAATCGTACCATACTGGT